AAAAAAAAAAAAAAAAAAAAATCTCTGGCCTTGGCCAGGCGTGGTGGCTTATGCCTGTAATCCCAGCACTTTGGGAGGCTAAGGCAGGAGGATCACCTGAGGTCAGGAGTTTGAGACCAGCCTAGGCAACATGGCAAAATCCCGTCTCTACTAAAAATACAAAAATTAGCCAGGTGGCACAGGCCTGTAATCTCAGTACTCGGGAGGCTGAGGCATGAGAATCGCTTGCACCTGGGAGGTGGAAGTTGCATAGAGCTGAGATTGCGCCACTGCACTCCAGTGTGGGCCACAGAGCAATACTGTGTCTCAAAACAAAAAACTAGTGGCGACATGAAGATATAGTGTTTTTTTGTTTAAGATAGGGTCTCGCTCTGTTGCCCAGGCTGGAGTGCAATGACGCAAATCACAGCTCACTACAGTCTCGAACTCCCCTGCTCAAATGATCCTCCCATCTCAGCCTGGGAATAGAGCCGCATGCAACCAGGCCCAATTAATTCTTGTATTTTTTTTTGTAGAGATGGGGATTCGCCATGTTGCCCAGGTTGGTCTCAAACTCCTCAGTTCAAGTCATTTGCCCGCTTCGGCCCCCGGATTGGGATTATAGGCGTGGGCCACTATAATAGGACCTGGCCTATTGTTTTTGTTAGTAGGAATAACAGTACTTCCCAGAACTCAAAAATCCTAGGAGACATGAGAAAAACACTGTAGAAACCTAGGATGTTCTAGTCACACATCCAGCAAACATTCATTGAGCATTTACTATGTGCCAGGCACTACCCAGAAGGCTGCAGATACAGTGGAAGGAGGCCGACACGGTCCTTGACCTCGGAGTTGACTTTTTAGTAGGACGTTATAAACTGATCGGTACTTATGAATCATCTAGTTAGTCTAGATGTTCTTAATATGGCTGCACGACAGATTCTCCCAAGTAGTTTAAAAAGACAGACGTTCGGATTCCACGCCCATTTCTCCCTCCATTGCAGATTCAGATTCAGTGCGTTTAGGTGGGATGCAGGAATCTGCATTTTCATAAACGTTCCGAGTGGTTACGAGCCGCAACCAGGTTTGGGTACCCCAACCTAGGCTATGGTCCAGTTA